GGTTCGGTGTGTGTCCCGTGCCGTGCCATGATTTGATATTGTGATAGTAAATAAATCACATATGACATGTTAATTCCATCCAATTATACTATTATTATGTAAACATTTTGTCTAGTGCAGTCGAGGAAACTCAACAGTTCCTGTAGATGTTTCAAAATAAAAGCCTTACAGGGAATTGAAGGGATTTTGTCTTGTAGTACCGGCAAAAAGCAGCAGTAAAATAAAATGTTTGGAGATGAGAAAGCAAACGTCTTTGGAAGAGTATTGTCTCAAATAAAGGCCTGTACCAGTGAGGTCTCTTAGGTTCAACTTAAATGAGGGTTTTTTTCCAGAATGTGCACAGACTGTACACTCTCCAGAAGGCCACACCCTCCTGTTTGGAGAAGCACTGAAGAGGAATTTCATGGACGTTGATCCAGACCTCGGACCGCTGCGGCCCCCCTTTGATCCTGAGCTCCGTCCAGCAGCCTGAATGTGCTGCTTGTCTGTTCGAATCTGCTCAATACAGCTGCACTGTTTGTATTTTCAACTGTGTTTCTATGGAGTGATAATAGACTCAGTTAATGTGGTTTTCTAACAAAGTGTGTGTGTGTGTGTGACCTGCAGGCAGAAATGTAAAGCAGCCCGGTGTGGGGTTTTTTTTGTTCAAGGAGATTAGTGTCTAGCTTCATACCTAGTTTTACCTGCTGGAAGCCTGCTCCAACTTGTCACATACACACCTGGAGGGGGAGGAGGGGATGCATAAACACACACACACACACACACACACACACACACACTCATATATGGGTGCCTTTCTTGTGCTCCACCCTGACTTCAAAAAATACCAGAGGCAAATAGCCAATTGACAGTTCAGTGACTGTTTTACAAGCAATTGCAGGAAGACGTTGGTGTGGTTTGAGCACATGCTGACACACACACACACACACCTAGAGAAGCGTCTGTTTTGGAGCATGCTGAAACAGATCAGTCTTTCATGCTGAACCAGGCGGTCTGTGTGTACCTTTGCTCCCCACTGGTGTTTACCTCCTCTCTCTCTCTGCTGCTGCCCTCTGCCACGTCAAATGACTGCCTGGGCGCTTGGCTCGCTCCTCCGGGAGACTCGCGGCCAAACAGCCTGACTGTGGTCACTCTGCTCCGGGTCTGAGGAGTCAGAAACTATACTGGCTGGAAGATTCCTACCGGCTCGCTGCTCCGCTTCCCTGGCTGGGATTTCGGCCGCGTCTGAGCTCGGATGTGTTCAGGTCTGTGAGGACCCCGACTCACCTGAGGAGATACTGGGAGAGCTGCTGTTGGAGCAGCTGGAATCTCATTTGTGTTTGTGCAGCTGAAAAATGAGTGGATATCTTTATAGAGGAAGGTAAGGCTTTTTGGATTGTAGCAGCTGTTGTGATGAGTCATGGGGGTCGGTGTGGTGTTTGTGGTTTTCTTTGCATGTGTGGGTGTGCATTCATAACTGTAATGTGAATAGAAAAGCCTCTCCTCTGCACTGAATGCAGATAAATAAGTAAAAAAGAAGTATGCCTTGCCTTCCACTGAAGAGAGGACCTTTGTGCTGCTGTTACATAATGAGGTCTGGACTCCCAGAAGTGGTGTTCCTGGATGATAGGCAGCTATTGGCTGAGCTAATTTCAGTCATTTCAAAGCAAACACCTGGATTATCTGTGTTCACTACTGTCATTTCAGACACAGCAGTGGGTCCATTATGCGTTGTTTAATATGTTTAGGTACTGTCTTTGACTCCACACTGTCAGACACTATCATATGTATTCTGTATCATCCATTTACAGCTCTTTGTGGAGGCTGTATGATGTTTACACTAAGAAATATTGAAATGTAAGACTTTTTATGGATGCATCATTCCATCAGATGGAAATATTCTAGCTCAGTGGTTCCCAACCTCATCATTAAGTACGTGACTTTATGGATATTTCACATTATATAAACTGTACAATGAACCCAGAATTCTGAGCAGATTATTTTCTGTGAATATTACATCAGAGATGAGTTTTCCTGATATTTTTAGGAACTTTTCTGTCTTTATTATGTTTTGTTTTTTAACTTTTAGGATTATTTTTTGACAAATTCAGTGTTTTCTTCTCCCTAACACTCGGCCAAACAAGGCTGTTTATCAGACAGTAAATTCTCTGTGACTATAGCTTGTGTTCAGGTCTTTAAAGTTTAAATCTTAAGACTTAAAATATGACATAAAAATAACAATTTTATCTAGTTTTCTTCACAGAAATGAATGAAATGCTGAGATATCGACCTACTGTGTATAATTTAAAAAGTTTATTTATTACACCCCTTAAAATCAAGAAGGCCTTGAGACCCCCAACTTAGGAACCACTGTTCTACATCCTGCTTTCTCAACTGGTGGGTTGCAACCTGTTCTAACTGGGTCTTGGACTGTGTGGTAAAAAGAAATAATGTATTTAATGCTTTAGCTATCTGATCCTTGACTTTTATTTTGAAATAAAAGCTTCCACAAATGTATGTTAAGTAGGTTTTGTAGGCCTTACCTATTACCTCCCAGGGATGTAAATATGTGTGTATATATTAAGGTAAAAGGTCATGATGACATAGTGTATGTGTTTACTAACCCAGTGGTTATCAACCTGGGGTTGGGAGAACCATTAGGGGTCACCTTCTTGATTTTAAGGGATGTAAGGAAACTTAAATATACACAGTAGGCCGATATCTCAGTGTCTGGTTCACTTCTGTGAGGAAAAGTAAATTGTCTAATAGAACAATGGTCAAGTTCCAGGGACAAGAAAACACTAAAAAGAAGCCTATTAAATCTGTATGATTCTTAAACAAAATTAAAAAAAACATAACACAGGCAGAGAATTGTATAAAAAGTTCCCTAAACAGGAAATAATCTGTTTGAAATTCAAACTTAAATTCAAATTTACACAAACTTCTTGCAGTAACTGAGTTCTGATTGGGTTCATTGTACAGTTTTAGTTGAGTCGTCAGTTTACTAAATGAAAAGGGGTTTGTTCCTTTAAGGTTGGGAAACACTGTAGTAGCCTATTTGAAAAGTAAATTTGTTTGGTTTGAATGGTGTGTAACATTTAGGAGGATCTATTGTCAGAAATATAATATAATATTTATAGGGATGTTTTCATTATAATGTGTATAATCACCTGAAAATAAGAGTTGTCTGCCATGTTTCTACACTACAACATACAAACCAAACACTGACTCTAGATTGGGAGCTTTGTGCCACCAAAGTTTCTCCTGCACGCTTGGAAGTTGCTCGATGCCACTAAATACACACTGGTCCTGCAAGAAGATCTATTCACACCCCCAATATTGAACTGATTTATCGCCCATATCTACATACAGTTTCAGTGAATACAGATACAGATGCTGTGTCAATGTGTAATAAAATGCACTTTAATGGGACCTTTAAGGTTAAATTAAGGGGTTTAAGCTCTCTGTCTGCTCAATGTGTGGCAGTTATGGCTCTCAGACACCCCGGCCTGCAGTGGGTTAGGAGTGTGTTGCGCCTCGCAAGCGTTCGTTGCATCAGTTAGTGGAGATGTTAGTTAACAGGGAGGAGATTCACAGAGGTTTGATGACGAGCGACGACACATAAGAGCACAAATGTTGTTCTCACAGCTGCTGGAGGCCTTTACTGTCGTCTACTCAGCTTCTATCGTCACCCAGGACACATCTTCTGCCACCCTCTGCTCCTCCAGCTGTCACCACCAAGTCTCATTAGTTCAGGCACTGAGGTCCTCACACACACACACACACACACCTGGGTGGTCAAGATGTTACACTCATTGCACTGAAAGCCTTTGATTCCTGTGTCATTCAGAGACAATTTAGGCTCATTACATTCTCACCCTGACTTGAAGGTCCCCAGTCTGCCTGATCTTCACTTTAGTTAATAAGAGGTCTTTTCACAGCTCGGTGAGATTTGCTTTGACTCAGTCTCGCTCATTGATTATTCATGAAATACTCAGAGGATGTGCTAATGGGAGGATATCCAGCCCACGTTCTCTGATCCTAAAATAAGTCCTCCTCACGAACAACTTTAAGCCACTTTGAGAGTGAACCTCAGAAGCCAAAACAGTCTTTTTTTACTCTCTTAGGTAAGAATGTATTACAGGAGAACCACAACACGTCACTTTTACCAACCAGTGGAGCCTTTTCATTAAGCTAACTAACAATTAATGTGAGTCAGATACTCTCTGAAAGCCTCTGAGGGTTTCATTTGTGAGCACTGACCAGTTGGTGGAAGGGTTTCACGGATTCTTCCACTCTCCGTCTTTGTTTAGTGTCTCTCAGCTGCTGAGTGATGGCTGTGTGACCTGAAGCATGCGCTGACTCAGTTTCCACCACCAGCGTGTGAGTGTGTCTGCTGTCTCTGACATGTCAGTGGGAAGCTCCCTCCCACCCTCCTTCAGCTCTGCTCATCCTACACTATTTTTGACCCTCTTTGAGAATTTACCACACTTTCAGTGACATGTGGGGCAGACAGGACACAGACAGGTAGGGCAAAGGTGGGAACATAGGTAATTACCTTAAATCTGGAGACAGGTTTTAGTGGAGGGTTAAGGAACAGCATGTGGCTGCTGGAGTAGACTCTGAGGGGAACTGGGCTGATGGATGTCTCTTGTTTCAGGCACTGTGGTGCAGAGAAACGGGCCCGGCCGAAGAGCATCGGACCTATGATGGGTAAGTCCTTTTCTTCGTTTAAAATTCTCTAATCAAGGTGTCTCGTTTACTGGTTTATTTTTCCAGGAAAAACATACAAACATCTCATTAGTTTTAGCACCCGATCCTGATACAAGCTCCTGTGTTGTTGACTAATGAGCTGTTTGTAGGAGCAACAGTTAGTTGGCCCTATGAGTCTATGAATGACTGAGTGTCTTAGTAACAGCCACCACCCCTTTAATGGGTGTATGTGTGTGTGTGTGTTCTCGGGTCTTAATTTTACAGGTTGTGTAATCGCTGTATATTTTCCTAGGACATTTCCTTGAAAGAACTCTGTAATTTGGTGCTAATGATATAAAATATAGAGAATATTCTGAGAAAACAAGTACAGATCTACCAAGAAATATATAAAGTTAGTTATTTGATCTCCGTAAAAACTCGTAATGACTGTAAAAACTGACAGACAGCAAGTAAATGTTAGTATTTTATTCATCTAACCTGCTGTTCACTGACTAAAAGACTGTAGAGGAAGTGTCCCAATAATTAATTACGTGGTCCTTTACAGGAACCTTTTTTCTCGAGTTTGTGGCCAGCGTAGTTTCTCCTACACTCTTGGAAGGCTGAGCTGTATTCAGTTGGTTACAATTGGCAGTTTCATTGCTACCACAACCACTAAATCCTACACAATGGACATTTAAGTACAGATCTGGAGTCAGGATGTGGTTAGCCTAGCTTAGCATTAAGACTGGAAGCAGGGGGAAACAGTTTCGACCTGTTTTAAGTTAAAAATACACCTACCAACACCTGCAAATCTCACTGCTGTTTTGTACAGCAACAGACAAAGGGGGCGGGGTTACAGCAAAATCACCTGGCACAGCTTTAAGGCAGTGCGACTGCGATGCAGTTTGGCTCCGTCATACGTGCATCTTCAAAACCCACTGAGAGCTTTTCAGAAGTGCAGCGTATTCAGTGTCTTTTGTCTCCACCACTTTGTTGACTTGTGTATTTTGTCCTTGAAAAGGGAACCAAAAGGAGTGTTTCTCCACTTCCAAGATGAACTTCTTGTCATTTGTGGTGTCAAATCTCCGCAGACAGATTGACCTCTGGCCTGGTGCTGCAATGTTTATCTAGCATGAAATTCTCTTGATTCTCCATGCAGATCGGAGAATACGCCATAGCAACTCTTTTTTGAGAAACAACAGTGTAACCATCGGCCCAATCCTTCTCCTGCCACAGTGTGGGTTGCCAGATACCAGATTTGGCTTTGGTTTTTTTACGGGGATGATGGCACCAGATATGGCAACCTTGCTGGATGCTGCACCGACTGTTCAACGAGAAAGAGTTCCAGCACGTAGCTCCGTCTAAAACCACAGCTTGTCATTTTTACATTTCTTAAAGTTAAACAGGCGAGATACAACATGTTAATAATCAGTGAGGTGTTGGACGGTGTATTTTTGAGATTTTGACAAAGCCAGACTAGCCTTTCCCCCCTGCTTCCAGTCTCTATGCTAAGCTAATCTTCTCCAGCTCCATATTTAACACAGACATGTGAAACATATCTGAGCATCTCACTCAAATATGTTTCTTAAAATGTTAAACTTTTCATTAAAGACGTGATTTGCTTGGGATTAGGGTTTGTACCAAGAGAACACATGATATCAATGAGGGTCCTCACAAGTACAGTAACAGAACATATTTGTGTGTGTTTGCGCGGTTGTACCAGTGCGTCA